CTTTCCGAGTAAAATGTTGAACTTAGTTCAGATTTTGGACCTTTTGTTTTCTGGAGTCAGTACCAAGGCTTGAACTCAGGGCCTCGCGCTTGCCAGCATTTTGCCAGTTATTTGGAGGTAAAGTCTCTCAGACTTTGCTGCGCAGGTCAGCTTTGAACTCCAATCCTCCCAGCTGAGTAGCCAGGATTACAGGCATAAGCCAAGTACTGAGCTGGACTTTTTGATTAGAGATGCACTACTTGTATTTTAGCGATGTTCCAACCCCTGAACTAATTCTCAGACGTATCTAACCTTCCCATATATCAGATGCCAAGTTGTGACATTTGCAAGTGTGTTTGTTTCTACACTTAGGTTTTTTCTGATTTTTGTTCTTTTTCTTATTGTTAGTAGTAGGTCTTGAACGCGGGACCTGGACGCTGTCCCTGAGCTTCTGTTGCTCAAGGTGAGCACTCTACCACTTGAGCCACAGCGCCACTTCTGGTTTTCTGGTGGAAATAAGAATCTCACAGACTTTCCTGCCTCCGTTGGCTTTGATCCATGATCCTCAGCTCTCAGCCTCCTGAGTAGCTGGGATGACAGGCGGGAGCTACCAGTGGTGTCTAGCTTCTGGTACTTGTTTTTAATAGTTGTAATAATCCAAAAAAAGATCACTTTGGTTTTAAGACCTGACTGTAAAAACTGTAAGAAGGTGCACCTGTGGCAGAATTTACCTCCAAAACAAAAGCATCTTTCTTCCCGTGGGAGAGATCTAATTCTGCGGCCTCATCGGAACTTTCCGACTGTGATCTCAGAAGTCGGGAGCGCTGTCTGGGCTCTGGGATGGGTGATCCTACGACCTCTTCCACCACCTCCTGGAAGAAAGACAGTGTTTGGTATCATGAGACTGGTGGGTCTGGAGTTTTGTTGTTGTTTTCAGTTCCGTTTTAAATGTCTAGGTAACTTCTGCCAGAGATGAGTGAACTAAATTGCATATTCAATGAACTAAATCTCAGTAGAGGGGCTAGGAAGGTGGCTCAGTGGTAGAGCGCTTGCCTTGTGTGCATGAGGCCCTGGGTTCCATTCCTCAGCACCACATAAGCAGAAAAAGCCAGAAGTGGCTCTGTGGCTCAAGTGGTAGAGCGCTAGCCTTGAGCTGAAGAGCTGAGGGACAGCGCCCAGGCCCTGAGTTTAGGCCCCACGACTGACAAAAACAAAAATAAATAAAATAAAAAAAAAAATAAATCTCAATGGAATCTGTGCTGACATGACACTGAATGAATGAACTCAGTTATTCGTGGTTCTAACTATATAGGTGGGTTTTCTACTAAACATTTCATTTTTCTACTTAAGCATGTTAACCCTCCCTCCTCCCCTCCAAAAAAAAGGCTTGAAGGTTTATGGATAGGATTTTCCAACCTGCTGGTAATTTTTGAAGTTCCACATATGAAAATGTGAAGAGTAAGAAACATCTGGACACACACGCGTGCACTCACACACACACACACACACACACACACACACACACACACACACAGGACACATGAATTTGCTGTGACAGGTAGCAAGCTACGTAAACCTTAACAATGACCTTCTAAAAAAGGCATCATGGCCCATCACCTGTGGCTCATGCCTATAATCTTGGCCACTTCGGAGGCTCAGTTCTGAGGCTCAAGGTTCAAAGCCAGCTTGAGCAAGTGAGTCTGTAAGACTCATCTCCAGTTAACCACCAAAAAGCTGGACTCAAGGGGTAGAGCACCAACCTTGAGAGAAAATGTAATAGTCAGGACCAAGGCCTTGAATTCCGACCCTAATACTCACACTTACACATACACATACACACACACACACACACATACACACACACACACACACTCACGCACACATACACACACACACATACACACACACATACACACACACACACACACACACACACACACACACACACACACGGGAGGGGGGAAAAATCACCACTTATGTTCAAAATAAGACAATGTGAAAATATCCTACCACGTGAGCTGACGTGTGTACAGCGCAGGCTGCATCCTGACACCTGAGCTGACGTGTGTACAGCACAGGCTGCATCCTGACACCTGAGCTGACGTGTGTACAACACAGGCTGCATCCTGACACCTGAGCTGATGTGTGTACAGCGCAGGCTGTATCCTGACACCTGAGCTGATGTGTGTACAGCACAGGCTGCATCCTGACACCTGAGCTGATGTATATACAGCACAGGCTGCATCCTGACACCTGAGCTGACGTGTGTACAGCACAGGCTGCATCCTGACACCTGAGCTGACGTGTGTACAGCGCAGGCTGCATCCTGACACCTGAGCTGATGTGTGTACAGCACAGGCTGCATCCTGACTCCTGAGCTGACGTGTGTACAGCACAGGCTGCATCCTGACACCTGAGCTGACGTGATCACAGCACAGGCTGCATCCTGACACCTGAGCTGACGTGTGTACAGCACAGGCTGCATCCTGACACCTGAGCTGATGTGTGTACAGCACAGGCTGCATCCTGACACCTGAGCTGATGTGTGTACAGCACAGGCTGCATCCTGACACCTGAGCTGATGTGTGTACAGCGCAGGCTGCATCCTGACACCTGAGCTGATGTGTGTACAGCGCCGGCTGCATCCTGACACCTGAGCTGATGTATGTACAGTGCAGGCTGCATCCTGACACCTGAGCTGATGTGTGTACAGCACAGGCTGTATCCTGACACCTGAGCTGACGTGATCACAGCACAGGCTGCATCCTGACACCTGAGCTGATGTGTGTACAGCACAGGCTGCATCCTGACACCTGAGCTGATGTGTGTACAGCACAGGCTGCATCCTGACACCTGAGCTGACGTGTGTACAGCGCCGGCTGCATCCTGACACCTGAGCTGACGTGTGTACAGCGCAGGCTGCATCCTGACACCTGAGCTGACGTGTGTACAGCGCAGGCTGCATCCTGACACCTGAGCTGATGTGTGTGCAGCACAGGCTGCATCCTGACACCTGAGCTGATGTGATCACAGCACAGGCTGCATCCTGACACCTGAGCTGACGTGTGTACAGCACAGGCTGCATCCTGACACCTGAGCTGATGTGTGTACAGCACAGGCTGCATCCTGACACCTGAGCTGATGTGTGTACAGCGCAGGCTGCATCCTGACACCTGAGCTGATGTGTGTACAGCGCAGGCTGCATCCTGACACCTGAGCTGACGTGTGTACAGCGCAGGCTGCATCCTGACACCTGAGCTGATGTGTGTACAGCACAGGCTGCATCCTGACACCTGAGCTGACGTGTGTGCAGCGCAGGCTGCATCCTGACACCTGAGCTGACGTGTGTACAGCACAGGCTGCATCCTGACACCTGAGCTGACGTGTGTACAGCGCAGGCTGCATCCTGACACCTGAGCTGACGTGATCACAGCACAGGCTGCATCCTGACACCTGAGCTGATGTGTGTACAGCACAGGCTGCATCCTGACACCTGAGCTGACGTGATCACAGCGCAGGCTGCATCCTGACACCTGAGCTGATGTGTGTACAGCGCAGGCTGCATCCTGACACCTGAGCTGATGTGTGTACAGCACAGGCTGCATCCTGACACCTGAGCTGATGTGTATACAGCACAGGCTGCATCCTGACACCTGAGCTGATGTGTGTACAGCACAGGCTGCATCCTGACACCTGAGCTGACGTGTGCACAGCACAGGCTGCATCCTGACACCTGAGCTGACGTGATCACAGCACAGGCTGCATCCTGACACCTGAGCTGGGTACAACGCATGAGCTCTCGTCCTCACAGCCCAGGCTGCAGGCCAGGGGCTGGGTGTACTTGCCGGTGGGCTGATCTCGTACAGCTCCTTGTTCTTGGCGATGGTGTCGTTGATCTTCCTCTGCATGTGGGAAACGTGCTGTTCGTAGGAGCCGTCGCCCGGGGTCTTGCCAGCGATCTGAATGCCACCTGGCATGGGCAGCGCTGCCAGGTACACACCTGTGGCCGACTTGTGGAGTAAGGAGCAATCGTCAGACAAGGTATTCGAGGAACAAGCTTTACAAGTTTTCAGCTAGGTCTCTTTCTGGGGAAAGGACGGAAGTATCTGTGCGTGCATGGGGCATTTCCGGAAGGAAACACACACACACACACACATACACACACACACACACACACACACACACACACACACACACACACACACACCCCTCCTAGAGTAAGGCGTGGGCTTCCTCTAAGGGAAGGCTCTAGGTGGAGAGGGAACCGTTAGGAAAAGGAACTGGTTTTTCCCTGCAGACCCAACTCTCTTTTAAAGTTTTTAATCTTACAATTGTGGAAAATAACTTGACAATAAATAAAAAAAATTAACTCAAGCCCAGCACTGGTGGCTCACACCTATCATCCCAGCTACTCAGGAGGCTGAGATATGAGGATCACGGTTCAAAGCCAGCCTGGACAGGAAAGTCCCTGAGACCCTTATCGCCAATGAACCACCAGAAAGCCAGAAGTGGTGCAGTGGCTCAAGCTAGCCTTGAACAAAAGCACTCAGGGACAGTGCCCAGGCCCTGAGTTCAAGCCCTACCCCATGACTGACCTCCCCCCGCCCAAAAAAATATATGTACATACATACGTATAGATAATATATATATCTGGGAAGCCTGGCTGGGTGCTGGTGGCTCACGCCTGTAATCCTGGCTGTTCTGGAGGCTGAGATCTGAGGCTCCTGGTTCAAAACCAGCCCAGGCAGACAGAAAAATCTGTGAGACTTTCGTCTCCAAGTAACCACTAAAGAACTGGGAATGCTGTGGCTCAAATGGTCAAGTACCAACCTTGAGCAATAAAGCTAAGAGACGGTGCCTAGGCCCTGAATTCAGGTCCAGCATTGGTACAAAAACAAAGAAACAAAGAGGAACCTGTTACAACCACAGAAATCGCAAAACGACCTCCCGAACTTCTAACCTTACCGCTAAACCCATCACCATATTTTCCCCCACGGTGATCTGAATCCTCAGGCCGAACAAGGCGTTCATCCCTTTGAGCTTCAGCTTGTTCATCAGCTGGGTGTGCACCTCGTACTCCATGAACGGAAGGAGGTTGCTGATGGCCGTGGCGTTCGTTTCTGCCTGGGCTTTCTTTTTCAAGCGACACAACCTGCGAAGAAGAGTCCTGTCAGTGCACCGAGTCCTTGTGACCTCAAGACAAAGGCCAACAGAGAGAGACACGATTTTAAAAGGCACACACCAGTGGCTCACGCTACTCAGGAGGCTGAGATCTGAGGATCGTGATTCGAGGCCAGCCCAGGGAAGGAAAATCCCATGAGACGCTTATCCCCCATGAAGTAGCAAAAAAGCCAGAGATGAAAATCTCACTGTGGCTCAAGTGGTTGTACACGAGCCTTGAGTACAAAGACCAGGGACAACACCCGGGTCTTCAGTTCAAGTCCCAGGAATGGAAAAAGATACTAATCAAAAAGAATTTTTTTCCAGCATGGGGCTTGAACTCAGGACCTGGGTGCTGTCCCTGAGCTCTTTTGCTCAAGGCTGGCGCTCTATCATTTGAACCACAGTACCACTTCCGGTTGCCTGGTGGTTCCTTGGAGATAAGAGTCTTTTGAACGTTCCTGCCCGGATTGGCCTCAAACAATGATCCTCAGATCTCGGCCTCCTGAGTGGCTGGGATGACAGGCGGGAGCCACCAGTGCCCGGCTCGATCATTCAAAAGGATTTCAAAGCAGGTTGATGGCTAAGTCTTAACTTTTGAAGCTGACCTAGAGGGTTCTGGGCACAGACCTGGCTTGAATAAGACAGCCCTTCCCGACCACGGCGGCCTGTGCGGGGAGGTCGATGGTGGTAAGCAGGACGTCGGGCACCTTCTGCCGGCGGCAGCAGCAGCACAGCGCCAGGTGAGCAGGGAACGGCGTGTTCACCTCGTCGTAAGGGGTGTGGCAGAACCCACAGCCCGGGGGCTGGCTCTCCCCCAGCCTGCGGGCCACAAGGAGACCGTGAGAAAGGCACTCTGCCCGGGGATGAACCCGTGCTCACACGCACACACACACACACGCACACACACGCACGCACACACACGCACGCACACACACGCACTCACACACGCACGCACGCACACGCACGCACGCACATACACACACGCGCACACACACGCACGCACAAGCACACGCACGCACGCTCGCACACACGCACACACGCACACAATGCGCACACACACACGCACACAAGCACAACATCCTTGAAAAATCTGTTCACTTTTCCAAAATAGGTATTATGCTCGTAGTAGTTAGTGTACAGATGACACCATGTCAGAGCCACACGGGCGAGAATAGCAAAATGACTTGTAGGAAGCGCTGAACGGCCAGGGAATCCAAGCCACCCCCTGTTCTACAAAAGCCTTATAAAAGGAGGTTGCCAGCAAGCACAGGCTCACACCTGTGATCCTGGCTACTCAGGAGGGTGAGATTTGAGGATCACGATCTGGAACCCAGGTGGGCAGACCCAACTGTGAAACTCTTTGTTTCCAATTAAACAGCAAAAAATGTCCTGGAGGTGTGGCTCAGGCAGTAGAGCACCAGCTGGGAATGAAAAAGTCAAGCAAAAAACGGCAAGACCCTGAGTTCGAATCCCTGTGCCGGTATGCGCACACACACGCGCACACACACACACGCGCACACGCACACAGACAGACACACAGAAAACAAAATCTTACTATATTCTGAAGGCTGTCTGGAATGATCTGTAAACCTTTAAATATTAACAAAAGAAGGATCTAAACAAGGTGGTCTCGTCATTATTAGAGCTAGAATATCTCCCTTATTATAGAAAGACTTGCAGTGCTAGGCTGTAGCTCAGGGGCAAAGCACTCGCCTAGCAACTGCAAGGTCCTGGGTTTGATCCCCAGTACCAAAAAAAGAAGACAAAAAAAAAAAAAAACAACTTAAAAACAAGACTTGAAAGTGTTGGGTTTTTTTAAAACCTTATTCCTTAATTTATACTAAATCTATTAATACAAACATTGTTTGGGGTTTCTTTTGGTGCTGGATCTGGTGCTTGAACTCAGAACCAGGGCGCTGTCCTTGAGCTTTTGTGCTCATATCTGGTGCTCTACTGCTTGAGCCACAGTGCCACTTCCGGCTTTCTGGTGGTCCATTGGCTCTGGTAAGAGCCTCACGGACTTTTCCTGCCTGGTTTTTCCTGGGCTGGCTTTGAACCACAATCCTCAGATCCCAGGTTCCTGAGTAGCTGGGATGACAGGCGTGAGCCACCGGCACATCTAGCTTAATACACAGTGTGACATAAAGAAGATTTAGGTTTATTTAATCCAGGTAGTGTCTGATATCAAACCAAGAGTCTCCGTGAATGCATGTGTATATACACATATCTACGTATATAATTTCCTATCTGTATGGGAAGTATATATATCTATGTATATGGATATTGCATACATACATGTGCAAATACACATACACAGCATGTAAACATATACCTTAGAGATATGCTTGTAGAAAGCGTTTTGTACTTTCAGAGAAGCTCACAGTTTACATGTATACAGGGAGTGTTCATCAATACGCTCATATTAAGCTCCTTTACCTAATGCTTCCTGTTTCGTTCTAGCTCACACTAACCAAATCACTTCCTAACTGATTTCGTGCAAAACTGGGCAGATTTCTTGGAGAGGTGGGCACCCTTCTTGGTGAGCACAGCCCTGGGACCTCGCTCTGTCTTTGTAGGTGAGACCCAGACAGAAGAGAAGCTAAGGGCTGGGCGGGTGGCTCAGGGGTAGAGCGCTCGCCTCGTATGCACGAAGCCCTGGGTTCGAGTCCTCAGTGCCACAGACACAGAAAAAACTGGAAGTGGCGCTGTGGTTCAAGTGGTAGAGCGCTAGCCTTGAGCAAAAGCAGCTCAGGGACAGCGTCCAGGCCCTGAGTTCAAGCCCCAGGTCTGGCCAAAGGAAAAAAAAAAAGGGGGTGGGGTGGAGAGAAGCTGAATTCAGCGCATGCGCTCTCCACTCTGTCAAAGCGGCAGGGCGCCTCCCCGGCAGCGTCCTTGTCATTTGTGAGGACGCCACACACCCGCGCGGGGAACCTTGGTTTTTAACCAAAAGTGGCACACCAGCCCACTGCAAGCCCCGCTTCGAGAAGCATCGTGACTGTTGTGGAAATGCTCGGCGGGGACTACCTCTGCTCCAGGCAGCCCTCCAGCACGCCGTCCTGCAGGAAGCGGGGGTTCAGCACGGCCGCGGTGCCCGAGGCGGACAGGATGCACACTTCCTCACTACGAGAGAAACACACGGGCGTGTCAGTGCTCCCTGCGGGGCCCACGGATCACCCAGCGAGACTGCAAGACCGACCAGTGAAACTCAAGGTGGCCCAGCAGGACGTGACACCACGTGATCACCTCCTGGATGTAAGGTAGAGAAGAGAAGCCACGGGCTGGGCAGGTGGCTCAGTGGTAGAGCGCTCGCCTCACATGCAGGAGGCCCTGGGTTCGAGGCCTCAGCACCACAGACACAGAAAAAGCCAGAAGTGGCGCTGTGGCTCAAGCGGTAGAGCGCCAGCCTTGAGCTGAAGAGCTGAGGGACAGCGCCCAGGCCCTGAGTTCAAGCCCCAGGACCAGCAAAGAAGTTTTTTTTAAAGGCCAAGCTGGTATATGGCCATTTTATGTATGTATGTATGTATGTATGTATGTATGTATGTATGTATGCATGTATGTGTGTGTGTATCTATCTATCTGTGCATGTGTGTCTATGTGTGTGTGTGTGCTGGTCCTCAGACTTGAACTCAGGGCCTGGTCACTGTCCTTGAACTTTTGTGCTTAAGGCTGACACTCCACCACTTTGCGCCACAGCTCCACTTCTGACTTTCTGGTGGCTCCTTGGAGATCAGAGTCTCATGGACTTTCCTGCCCAGGCTGGCTTTGAACCACGATCCTCAGATCTCAGCCTCCCGAGTAGCCAGGCTGACAGGTGTGAGCCCTTGTGCCCAGGTTTCTGTCCATTATCAAGTGAGACTCTCAGAGGAGCTGACCCTTCCCAGGCTTTGCAGTGACCAAGACAGACTCCGCTGGAGGTGCTCCGAGCCTGCACACCGCATCATCCCGCACATTCTTCGCTTCTGCGGGACGCAACGGCCACTCACCAGATGCTGGTTGACTCGCTGTAGCCCACCACGGCGTGGCAGCCTAATGCCTTCGCGTGGGATTTGATTTCCTGTCTGATTTCTGCCCACCAGGCGTCTCGAGTTTCCGGTTCGTCTGAAAGATACAAGTTTAAATCAGCTGACTTACCCGATCTCCCAGGAGGTAGTGGCTCAAGATGTGTTGAAAATCAACGGGAGCCAGGAGAGGAATGGGGGGGTGGGGGGGGGGCGGTAGCACGGGTTTGAAATGCAACACGAACCACCACAGCTTCAAAATCAAAATGCGACTTTCTCAACGAGGGAATGAAGATGTTCGCCGTGTTCCAACTTCTCGAAAGCATCAAGACATGTTGAACCGGCTAGAAAACGAACTACTCAGTTTGACTGCGGGGATTTCTACGGGAGGTGTTTTCTTACGATACCCTGGACCTCCTGGTTCTAATCTTCAATGATTGCTTTATGGATCATCTCTCGCTGAGGGTCCCATGGCCGCAGCCGTAAATGAAAGAAAAATCCTCACTTCATTTTCTGGCACCTGTAATTTTTGTTTCCCCTAATAATCCTCTATGGGCTGTAGATAAATCTTTCCATGGCAAAGACTTACCAAGGTTAAAAAAAAAAAAAAAAGCAAGCTAAATATAGCTACCCTTTCTATAGAGATGCAGGTCCTAAGAAAAATGGACTTAAAAAAAAAAAAGGAAGAAGATGACTGGCCAATTAGGAAAAAGAAAAAGCAAATCATTAAAGAGATTAAATAGAGATAGTAATCTGGCTCATGCAAAGGATACTTTTCAGATGGAATGGTGTCAACTCTGTGTTTGGCTCTGCACCAATTCAAAGTGGCGTGGACCGGTAGCGTGGGGTGTGTCTGTAGTCTAGCTCACCAGGAGGCCGAGGTAGGAAGACCCCTTGAGCCCACCAGTTCCAAGACCAGTCTGAGCAACACAAGGAGACCTCCTCTCAACAGCTACAGCTAAAAAGCTCGGGCGGGGAGAAGGGTGGGGTACAGCTCAGACAGAACGCATCTGTCTAGCATGTACAGGCTGGGTTCAATCCCTGGTACTACCCCCCCTCCAAAAAAAAAAAAAAAAGAGGCCTAGAAGCTCAGGATTATACGCCATTAGCAAGGGCTTTCTTGAGTTCATGGCCACTTCCGGGGCAGCTGGGAATTACAGTGACCCATTATATGTAATAACTAGAACTGTGTATGTATTATATATTGTAATTGTGTATAATTATGTATTATGCTACAATTAGTATACCCTGATCTGTTTCTTTGGGGCAGGGTACCTCCCCGGAATCTGGGAGTCATTTGTAACTTAACTCTAACGAGGGTGCTAAGCTGTTACTCTAAGTTTTCGAAATAAAACTAAAAAAAGCGTAGCACAGGTGGCTCACGCCTGTCATCCTAGTTACTCAGGAGGCTGAGATCTGAGGATCACGGTTCAAAGCCAGCCTAGGCAGGAAAGTCTGTGACACTCTGATCTCCAATGAACCACCAGAAAACCGGAAGTGGCGCTGTGGCTCAAGTGGTAGAGCGCCTTGAGCTGAAGAGCTGAGGGACTTAACAGTTCAGAGAAAATAGAAACCACAAGGAATAACAGAGAAAATGCTGGTTTCCCTGAAATACTTCCTCAAACAAGAACTCTTAACTTTTCTTAAGCTCACTAGCACAATCTGCTGTTCACTTTTTTTTTGGGGGGGGGGGGGGGCGGGTTGGCTTTCCTCAACTGTATTCCTTTTTTTTGGGGGGGGGTCTTTTCTTTTGTGGTACTGGGGATCAAACCCAGGGTATGAAGTTGCTAGGCAAGCGCCTGGCTGCTGAGCTATCACCCAGCCTTGCTACTTACTTTTTTAAACCATTCTAGACAGCATTATTTTCTAAAGGCAATAATCACCCGCTACCACTAAAATGACACTTTTTCTTTTCACATTGGGTCAGCCTACCTCTGTACATACAAGCATTTTCTGTTGCTGTTTTTTAAAAGGAGCTTTTTAGAAAGTAAACCCATTACCATTCATTTTTAAATTAGTAGAAAAAAAAAATAACACACCACCACCATCCAGGAGGTTTCTTAAGTTCCAAGTATGCTTAGTTAGAAACTTATTTATAAAATAAGGATTTATTCAGCATGTCGAAATGGAAACACACGCAGTCCATCAACCTTGTGAGATACTGTAATCGCATGAAAAACAAGGATAACATCCCGGATAACTTACCTTGATGCCCCCCAACCCCAGCAAAAGCAATCAGATCATTAAACCGAATACCATGACACAAGAGGAGGCGGATTGAAAAACAAAAAGAAAACAGAACAGAAACAAAACAAACAAGCTGAATGCAGGGCGGCTGGGGAAGAGAGAGAGAGAGAGAGAAAGAGGGAGAGCGCGCGCGCGCACGTCCATGTCTTCTGACACACTCGCAAGCAGCTTTGGTTTGCACGCGTGAGCAACACAAGTGCGCATGGGGGGAGCTGGTATGAGCTTACACCGAGTCTTATTTACAGCGTGGAGAGGAGGCTTCGAGGGGTTAGGGGACGGGAGAGGCTGGGGAGGAGAGTGGCGCCGGGGAGCCGGTTTGGGTTTGGGGGTGAGGGGGGGGCGAAGGCCACAGCAGCAGCTCAGAGGACACGCAGGTGTGCAAAGCGGGCAGCATCCGGGGCGGGGGGGGGGGGGGGGGGTGGCCTTGAAAAGCGCATGCGCGGGCCAGGTGGACAGAACAGACTGAAAATATGGCAGCTCACTGAAATGGTCACAGAAAGAAAATGGCCCTGGATCCTAGGTGAAAGGAAGCGTACGAATGGAACACTTGCTCACAGTGTACCGGCTGCGTTGAGTCAGCTACCTGGGGGAAGAGCCCAGAGCCCAAGAGGAACTGTGCGGGGCCTTCAATTTGGGGGGGGGGGGGCTGGGGGGGAGGGGGAGGGGGCAATTAAAATGAGTCAGGTGATTTCGTATGAGAGAGAGAGAGAGAGAGAAAACGACGACGACAAAAAATTAAAATTAAAAAAGCCGTGATGTCTTCTCTAAGCCTAGCTGCTGCTCGTGCCAGACACAAGCCACAGAAAGTTCCAGAAATCATGACTGCAAGTTGTCACTGATAAAAAAAAACTACTCCAGAAAGGACCCTCATGGGGGGTCCCCCTGTGGGAGAAGTATTTTGAGGTGGCAATGGGCAAGCTACTTTTTTTTGGGGGGGGTTAAATGTAAGAGAGGAAACGCGTGGAAACACTCAAAAAGGCAGAAATCCAGCCTCTGGTCAGCCTCCGTCCAAATGCACAGAACAGCCTCGTTCTAGAACTTGCTGTGTGCTACAGAGGGAACTGGTTCACTACTGGTTATTTGGAAGATTGGCAGCTAGGGTGCAAGTGTTTAAACGAATAGTCCAAAAACAGAAAGGAGGAGGAAAAAAATCCCTGCCATTTAAAAACCATATGCCTGTCCCTGGCCTACAGAATTATTTACAGTTATTTAGGATTGTATTTAAGAAGTGAGGATTATCTACAAGTGTTGTTTGACGCTATTTGAAGTTCTTCTTCTAGGGGTCGAAACTCACTCCAGAGTTTGCACAAGTATTTTAGGCTGTGCTTTGATCTGTGGGTGTGAAATGAGTGTGCACCCACACACCCACACCCACACATACCCACCCACACACACCCCTCAGCAGACCTACTGACCTTCCTGCCTCGGGTAGGCTGGCTTAGAACTCGCTCCCTCTAACCACGGGCCACAGCTGGCTACCCTGCCATCTTTTCATTATTTGCTTCTGAAATGCAGGTGAAACTAGCAAAGGCGATCTTCCAAAGGCCAAGGAGGCTCATGCAACTTGGCATAATCCACCTTTATTAGTTAATAAGCACTGGCTTCAGCTTTATTATCTGCGTTGTCTTGGGATGGAATAAACGCCCTGTGGAAGGCTTTCGTCTGGGTGAATGGAAAAAGGAAAAGGGAGACAGATCCTCCCTATCTGCTCCAGGCTGGCCTCCAACTCCTGATCCTCCTTCTGCCGCCTCCAGAGCACCGTCAGGCTCAACCTACGTTTTGGATGATCAAGATGAGCTCATGTTTGAGTTGGAGCAAGTTAAAAAGATTTTTTTGAAGTACAAGTTTTGAATCAAATGATTATCTGATCTGCCTCATAATCTGAAAGGAATCACTTCAAGTTGCCCCAAAGGATACGGAAGTTAAGAGTTCAAGTTCAAAGGGGTCTACACCCTCAAGCTGGCTTGGGGACTGCATGGGACTAAGGGAAGGATTCTCATTAAGGGGAAAGCGACACACAGAACAAACAACAGTGCCTCAGCAAATCCTATCTGTGCCCTGAAAACTTGAAGGGAAGAACAGAAAATTTCTGAACTGTGTTAGGCTTGGTTTTTGCACATGTGTTCTGGGATAATTGAGACCCTCACTGCTTGGTCATCTATCTGCGCTGACAATAAATCTCTAAAAAACAAAAAAAAAAAAGCTGGAAATGGATCTGTGGCTCAAGTAGTAAGAGCACCAGACTTGTATAAAAAAAAAAGCTAAGGGACAGCGTCCAAGACCTGGGTTCTAGCCTCAGAATTGGCACCAAAGATTAATCAATAAAAGTATATTGTGAGACCAGGCACCAGTGGCTCACGCCTGTAATCCTACCTACTCAGGAGGCTGAGATCTGAGGATCGTGGTTCAAAGCCAGCCCGGGCAGGAAAGACTTTGAGACTCTTATCTCCAATAAACCACCAGAAAACCGGAAGTGGTGCTGTAGCTCAAGTGGTAGAGCGCTAGCCTTGAGCTGAAGAGCTGAGGGACAGCGCCCAGGCCCAGAGTTCAAGCCCCACCACCAACAAAAAAAAGTATATTGTGAACTACTTAGAAATACTTGGACAACTTAAGAGATAAAAACAAAAGCTCAATTCATTAGGGAAACAATGAGGGCTATTAATATTTACGCTTTAAATAATTTTATGATGCCTTATTTTTTATAAGGCTTAATTAATCAAAGTAGAACTCAACTTTCTGATAAACGTTTAAGTCTTCAAAGGATCACGATTGAAAATAAGATGCTCGGGGATAGGAAGCATTTTCTTCTTCCTGCCCTGAAAAAGGTTCTGTTGTGGCAGTTAAACTTAAGAT